TTCTCAAGACCGTGGCTGAGCACATTGCCGCTGCTGTCTATCTGTCTGTCTGTCAAATCTTCCGTTGTTCCTTTGAGGTCGGGCGACTTCCAGCTGCCTGGAAGGTGGGAATCGTTAAACCTATTTACAAAGGACGGAACCGACAGGAGCCAGCCAGCTATCGTCCCATCTACCTGACTTCGATTTTGTGCAGTCATGGAACGTATCCTGAAACGGGCCCTTCGCCTTCCTCTCGAGAAGTTAAAGTTCATCTCTTATGCCCAGCATGGTTTCCGAAAGGCGCGTTCATGCGCCGCAAATTTGCTGGTGGCTAGGATGAAATGAGCAAGATCCTTTGATGCTAGTAGGCGCCTGGATGCTGTTTTTTTATTTCAGCAAGGCTTTTGACAAGATCCCGCATGAGCGGCTCCTCTTCAAACTCCGGGGAATCGGTGTCACTGGGAACTTTCTTTCTTGGATCTCCGATTTCCTGGACGGTCGTTCCATGCAGGTTAAAGTGAACGAAGCGCTTTTTGATCGAGTTCTCTTGACCATTGGGGTCCCCCAGGGTTCTGTACTCGGCCCCGAACTCCTCAATATCTCTATGAACGACCTGCCTTCCGAATTGCAGATCGGTTGCTCAAGCCACGCGGATGATCTGAAGCTGTGGATTGAGGTACCTAGTCTGGTAGATGCAGACAGCACGACGCTCGATCTCCACGATTGGTCGATAAAGTGGCAGTTGCCCATTGACCATGACAAATGCGCTGTTCTTCTAATCGGTGCTTCTGAGCCATTTAGGGCATACCATCTCGGGGGTTTCTTTTTCAGAAAAGTCAACTTGGAGAGGGGTCTCGGAGTGACTGTCTTTCCTGATCTTAAATCAATCCAGGACACCAGGAAGAGGGTTGTTGCTGCCTACAGCATGTTTCACGCTATACGAAGAACCTTCTCACGTCTGACCACAGCACTGTTCCAACATTTGTTTGCTTCGCATGTGCGCCCAATTCTCGAGTACGGATGACTGTTGTTGCCATTTGACCTGTTGATCGCGATATTCCATTAATAATGCCCAGCAGTTTCTGCAAAAGCTCAAAGACTTGCAAATAGATGATGATGAAACAATGATATCTTTCGACGTGACTGCTCCCTTTACGTCTGTCAAATTACAAATGGCAACAACAGTCATCACAGAACGCCTGAACCACAGTAAACAACCATTCGGGAACCTAACAACCGAAAATGTATACAAGCTACTCCAGTTGTGTCTGTCAACCTACTTCTCTTTTAATGGGAAGATCTACGAACAATGCGATCACCTATATCAGGACTCATCGCGGAGATGGTAATGCAGAAATTGGAGGGAGATGTACTCCCACTCATTAATCCGAAACTGTGGGTCCGATATGTTGACGACACTTATGTGATCATCAAACGCAATCAAGTTACAGTCGCACAGCAGCTATTGAACAACGCCATTGAATACATCCTGTTTACGATGGAAATGGAGAAGAAAAACTAACTACCTTTCCTGGATGTATTAGTAACCAGAACCATGAAAAAGAAAGTTGCGAATATCAGTTTACAGAAAATGGACGCATATGGACCAAATTCTGAACTTTAATAGTAATCATCCGAATTGCCACAAAGTAAGCTGTGTGCGAACACTATTTGGTAGAGTGCAAACATACTGCAGTACCGCGGAGGCAAAGCAACAAGAAGAGAAGCATCTATTTAGATGTTTCCAACTTAACGGATACGCACGAAGCTTCATTCGAAGGTATCTGAACCACAACAAACCAAGCAGACAGTCTACACCAACGGTGGGGAGACGCGTTGTTATACCTTATATGAAGAATATATCCGAAATGGCAGCAAGACTATTCAAACGACATCATCTCATCGTAGCACACAAACCAACTGTCACGTTGAGGAAAACTCTGTCGAAACCGAAAGAGGAACTGGCACCTCATGAGCAAAGCAATGTTGTATATAGACTAAGTTGTATAAATTGCGAAAAGGACTATGTTGGCCAGACAGGTAGAAAATTATCAACACAATTACAAGAGCACAAAAGAGCATGCAAAAGACATTATGCATCTTCGCTAGTCTCAGCACACGTGGATGAAAAAGAACACAGCTTTGATCGGGCCAAAACAGAAGTCCTGGCACGAGATGAAACAAGAAGAGAACGGAAGTTCCTGGAAGCGTGGTTCTCAACAAAAGACTCGATCAACCTGCATATCGAGGTTGACCCAGTTTACCCAACCCTCCGACGGATAGAACTTAGCGAAATTATGAGACACCGCTTGAATAGGACCAACCCGAGCGACAACTTCCGCCACGAGGAAATGGGTAGAGATCACGGGACACCGATCGAAGCCGTCACTTTCGAAAAGTCACCTGCACACCGATCAGGGCTCGACAATTCAATCAGCGAGATTACACTGCACATCTCGACGCACTGATGATGCCGCTTCGCATGGCGGTAAAACGTGTGTGAACAAATTTCCCAGCTCGGCGAACAAGCGAGGAACTGAGGTATGAAGGTCCTCAGTTCGAAGGTAGCCTCGGTTGGAGCGTCTGGGCTCCTTGGTTGGGGTCCGAAGGACGATGAACACGTTTGGCTGTATACACTTGCGGATATGGCTAGGAGCCGACCTCCGTGGCGTTCATGCTGTGCGTTTCTTTGTTCCACCCCTTCCCTCTTAGCCTCTCCCTCCAATCACGATCTCGCTATTTAATCTTATAAAAGTTTGCGTAATAAATTTTTTGCTGCTTAGTAGCCGGCTGGTAGCTTACTGGAACGAAGTCCATCCGTTACTGGTAGCTCAGGTGGCCTGCAGCTGTTTCCTTTTGTCCTTTTTTCAGTTATTTATTACGGCACAGTAGCTGAGGTTTTTCCCACCTCTAGCTAACGTGTATAATAATGATGACTCCAGGAGACAGTTGCTCGTTGCTGGAGGGGACGGGATGCACGGTCCTTGTGGCCGTGCTAGGCTTGAAGAGTGGTTCCATGCACTCAGTGTGGAGCGGACTACGGTCCAGCCACCTTCTTGTGTGCGCTTGATTCCCAAATGCAACGTATTTGTGTTTGCCTGTGAAGTAGTATTGGGCGGCTCTGTTGATAGAATGTGGCTCCCATCCACATACCTGCCGGACTTATTCATTCGGGTTTACACTGGATATGGGGTGTGTGCATGATGCAGCGCAAGCCACTCATGGTGCCTCTGTATATATATATATATATATATATATATATATATATATATATATATATATATATATATATATATATATATATATATATATATATATATATATATATATATATATATATATATATATATGGTTGGCGGCATCCGGTTTCGGATTTGCCTATCAATGTGGCCAGCCACAGGACGCCTGCACCTACAGAGGGACCATGGGTGGCTTGCGCTGCAACACCCACAGCTCTATCCACACACCCCTTATCCAGGAATAAGATCGGGATGCATGTTTATGGGAGCCACGTTTCATCAACGGAGCCGGCCCACATTCCTTCACAGGCAAACGCAAGCACGCTGTATTTGTGGAATCAAGCGCACACAATGCGGTGGCTGGAACGTAGTCCGCTCCACACTGGTGGTTCCTTCCAATTTGACTCAAGTTACGAAATATGTTGTGCGCAGGAATGATAATTAAGCTGCTTTTTTTAAATTGATTGTCTATGGTACCGTAGCTGCTTTATTCTAAGTTTTTACTTACTAACAGGTAAAATTAGCATCCATTTCTTTATTTTTCCAGCCATTTCCACTGCCACTCGCTCTTCCTTGGATGATGTTTCACAGGCTACTAGCTGGTGGGGTTTAGATCAACATTCTTCTATCGGGCAGTTTAGTTGTTTCATGGAATGTCACTTTGGCGAAAAGTTAGAGAAGCCTACTTACATGTGCATCCGTTTGTTTCCGTCGGTACATCAATCCTTCGTGATCATATTTACTGATGTTTAACATGTTACTTTTAGCTTTCTTGCGGTTTGACATAAAGTACCATGTGCAGACTACCTCCCCATGATTCATCCGAAACAGAATGGCACTGTAGTGAGTTGCGGCTCGGTGTTAGATTGATGCGGATGATACCGTAACAAAGGTATACCAAACGGCTAGTTTGATTTGTAATGCGCTGGATGCACTATCGTAGGATTCGAGGTGGTTACTCATTGTGGTGTGAAGTAAGAAACTGCTACAACTGATCGCCCTACACCACTTGCTTACCTGGCTGTTGGCACGAAAATCACGCACCGGAAGTAAGTCGGCGCAAGCTGCGATACTGTCAGGCTGTGTAGTGAGAGCCACCACACCTCACAGGTTTGGACTTCTAACGCTACGGCAACTGTGGGACTGTCAGCGAAGTTGCGAACAGAAGATTTGTAACTTACTGTATCATATAATTAGCTTATCGTTTCGTGCTAAATAAGCTTTTGTCCGAAGCACAGTTCGACCATTCGCGCCTTCGTAGAGCTACGCCTCAATCCCCACTTATCGTGTTTTGGTGGATATTTAGTCCCGCGAACTTACTTCGTCTGTTACGTCACCTTACGTTGTTGCATAGACCGCACTCTGTTGTGATTAAGATAGGGTTCTCGAACACTGGAACTCATTTCCAGAGAATGTTGTTAGGGAATTTACGGTTAATGGTTTTGAGTATCTACCAACTGCTCTTGAGTGGCAAGACAAATCATTTCTGTCTTAAATTTGGCTTTATTCTTCTCCATTTTACCTTCTCTCCTATTTTGATGTTATTGTTTTGTTTAGGTCGCCTTACTTTTTCATTTTTTTCCTTGTTTTACGTAACCACTAGCTCAGAGGCCTCTGGTACGGGAATTTAATAGCATTATTTTATTTGGGCGTAATTCCTATACTTCCTTTTAGACTCATCAAGATTTCGGTGTATTTTATCAATTATTTGCTCGACAACACACGAGCTTCTCCCATCGTCCCAACCTCACTTGAACTTGAACCTGTCGCGGTGCGGCTGTGATGGAAGATGTGGATGATTCATTTTATAGGTAACGCGGATATTTTGGCTTTGCATATGTACTTCCGAAATCAGCCGTCAAAGATGTGTCCTGGGAGAGGATGCTATGCGAAAAATGGCTAAATCCAAGGTGTTTCTCTATGGGCTTGGAGGTGTAGGAATAGAAATAGGTAAGTTGATAAATTATCATCTTAGTTAGACAGCGAAGAACCTTATACTCGGTGGAGTCGAAGAACTGATCATACAAGATGACCGTGTTTGTGAATCGCGAGATCTATACTCTCAATTTTTTATACGACCAGAGGATGTGATTAGGGGGATTTCAAGGTAATTTTTGCTTGTGAGCTATAACCCATTTACTTTCTATTCGTCGCATGCCTATTCTGTCAAGTTTTATACCTTAATTCTACTTGTCATGGATGTTTATGATCTACTAAGCACAACATGATACATTCTTCTACTTCCAGTAAGTTATCTCACGTCCGTTGAAGCTGACGACCAATTCCGCATTTTGGTACTTTTTCACCATTGTTCGGAGCTTGCTACAGTGCTGGTACAGCCCAAGCAACAAAATTTTTGTCCAATTTTTTACTCACAGTTTTCGAGTTTTTTGCCATGTTTTATTAAGGGAAGGACAGGGCATCACCGCAACATGCAGATATATACGTTCACCACTGGTGTCGATCTTAAGCCATAACTTCCCGGGTCTCCAGCCAGTGACACTTCGTATCTCTGGGACCACAACCAGGAGTCGAGATCAACCGACCAAAACCTACTGCTTAGTCAGCTTTTTCATCCTGCTTCTCCGGCTTGTAGCTTGTCCACCGTGCCGCCTTCTCCAGCCTTGCCCAGTAACCGCGAACAATCCATGACGCACGAGGCGCTGAGCGGGCATGCGCAGCACGTGACCAAGCCACTGTACTTGGTGCAGCCAGACAATCTTGGGCGAGTGACTGTCTCTCTCCAAAACGCGCTGTTTAACTTCGCATTGTTTACGTGGTGCAGCCACCACCCATGGGCATGGACCGCAAGCAACGGTGCTTGAAGACAGACAGCTGGCGCAGGCCAACGGTTCGAACAGGCCACGTCACGCAAACATACAGCAGTACAGCACGGACGGTCGCGCTATATACCCACCCTTTGATGGAGAGACGGATATCATGGCGGCGCCACAAGTGCCTCAGTCTGGGGAAGGCAAGATGAGCTTTTGAGATACAAAGAAATCACAGCTCCACCAGCAGTGATGGAACTTCGTAGTAAGGCGAAACTCTAGCACCTCTATTGTCTCGCCACCGAGTGAGAGGAGGTATAGGCATCTGCCAGTCTTGAAAAAGTACTTTGCACTTGGACGGCAAAAAGTATAGGCCCTACTTTGACGCTTCAATCGCCAAGCGGTTAAGTGCAAGCTGGACGGCCTGCGAACCCTCACCCAGCATGCCAATGTCATCAGCGTAGTTCAAGTCAACTAGTCGACTGCCTGAGAGGAACTCAACACCGGCGTTTAACGTTGAGGATATTCTCAATGGCAGAATTGAAGAGGAGTGAGGAGATTTGACATCTTTGTCGAAATCCACTGGTGACAACAAAGGAAGGCGAAAGTTTGCCATAGTCCCTAACTCTACCCGAGATCAGGCTATACGGCGCACGCAGTGCGGAAACGAATTTCTCGGGGACCCAATTCTTCAACAGATAGTGTCCCAAATGCAGTCCTGTCGACCGAATCGAATGCAGCACCGATATCAAAGAACACGACAATTGTTGGCTTTTGATATGCCTGGCGGAGCTCGAGAATCTGGCGGGTGTGAAAATTTGATCGGTGCAGCCACGACCAGGACAGAACTCTGCCTGTTCGTCTCGCTGTAGCGATTCGCGTACTAGGGTGAGTCTGCAAAGTGTGATTGACGCCAGAAAGCTTATGAACGACGAGAACCAAACTTATACCTCTGTACTTGGAGCACATTGTGCGCAAGCCCTTTCGCAAATGGGGACGACAGTCGACTTGCCCCAAGGCGATGGAACCTCTCTTGATCAGACTTCCGATAGCAAAGCGGTAAGTTTTTGAACATTGAATGGCGACCATCTTTAAAGAGAGCATAAGGTATACTATTAAGGCTGGGTGTTTTGTGACGCTACAGTAGGCGCAGTTTCTACCAGATTTCCTGGCGAGAAAGAGGGTCTGTGGGGACAGACCACTCAGCATCAGTGCGCGCTCCAGACGACACAGCAGGTTCTGTTGGGCAGCAAAACTGTGAGCCAACATTTTCAGCCCATCTTTTCAACTGTCGTTGATGATTAGTTGTCAGTGAACCATCCACTTCACAGATTGTTTCTTTTATTCCAGACCGGAAACATTCGGTGACTCAGTTGAGATGGAAGTTTTCTGGTATTACCAGAGAGACTAGCAATTTCCATCTCTCTAGCACGTTCACACCACCAGGTTTAAAGGTCATTTTGCAAACTCCTGCGCAATTCTCGATTCAAGGATCGACGTTCTTCCCTACAGCTGGCGTCGGCCGTGACTGAGCGACGTCTGTCAACCAGCGACAAGGAGGCAGCGGTGGTCCAGCTTTTCCACTCGTGATGGATAACTTCACAGCTACAATGCTGCCAGTAACTAAGGCATTTTTGATGCTCACCCATTCTGAATTCATATCATCGTCAGAAGGTGCCGCAAGCAGTGTCGATAGATCGGCCTGGTAGTTGGACAGCGTCGTAGGGTCCCACAGATTTTCAATGTTCGACTGGTAGTGCGTACGCCTGGGTAATCCTCCGGAACGCATGCAAATCTTAGCACGAACTAATGCGTGATCGGAGTCCAGACAAGTTTATCAGTACGTTCGGCAGTCAGGTACGCTTCTGCACTATCTGTAGCTTATTGCTATATGGTGAAGCCTAAATCACGCTTGTGTTTGAGAAGGCAGCGCCAGGTAGCAGTCTGTTTCTTCGAGTAACGGAAACTGGTACTCGATGAAAGCACGCGATGCTCAGAACCAAAAGTCAGTAGCCTATCTCCGTTGTCCAATCGACTACTACCGAGGTCAAAACTACCCCCAACATGGTGCCCGCTTGGTGGCAAGCGGCCCACTTGGGCGTTAAAATCACCGGCAAAAATGACAGTATCAAACTTTCTGGAGGAACACAGGTCATGTAGTTGTTGATAAAGCCAATTCTTGATTACATCCGAGTTACAGTCTGTAGGAGCGTAGGCAGAGACGACAAATAAGGCATGCTTCACATCTCGACGCTTACTTAATTTACATCAATCTCGTACTCTGACCGCAAAGAGCCAACTGTTGGCTGCGACCCAGTCAAGCAGAGCGGCGTCAGCTCTGTCACTCAGTACAACCCCAACACCAGCCTGATCAGAAGTAGCAGCCTCTTTTTCCCCGGAAAGGCGCATGTAGTATTTGACGTCAGGGTTTGCCGGAGAGGTCATTCGGGTGACAGAACTGGAGTTTTGCAGTCTGCTTTCTGAAAAGCAGCAAATATCTATCGAAGGTGCGGGCCAGGCAAGCTTGCTGTCCGATATGCATCAAAGTGCAAATATTGAATCCTGCGAGGCCGAATGGAGAACCAGGTCAAAGAATAGCTGAGGCTTCGATGGAATGTGAGAAAGCTGTGATCACAGGGCATCGAACACGAAGACTTTGACTCTTACTTCCATCAGGTGCAATCAGTGAGCTGCTGTTAGCGGTGACCGGAAAAAGCGTAGGTGTAGTTGAAGAACGGGACTTGGAAACGTCTGTAATTGGAGGTTGAGCAATTGAGGCAATAGAGCCAGTAGACAAAGCAAGAGCAATAGTAATGGAGGAATCCGTCTGTTCAGTGGGTGTGCTACTACCTGGTTGCTCAGGCCGAAATAGTGGGTTTTGTTAGGGAGCCCTACCGCGAGCCTTCGCTCAGGGATTCAACCTGCAAGGCAGCAAGGCGATATGAGGGCTTCACAACCGGTTTGGAGCCGATGACCAAACAAGTGGTTCCTACATCTTTAGGTCTTTCAAAGGATCAGAGGCCCAACACCATTGAGTTACAGTGCCTCTCTGAGAGAAGCAAGGGGCAGAGAATTTATTTCATGGCGTCACATCTGCCGAATCACAGGCTTGTTAAATGGCCATATGTGGCTTTTTATTAGGGAGAACGCTTGTCAGGCGAAAACCCACCACCTCCTGAAACACTGCCATTTGCTGGATCAGGATATTCCCGAACCACCCAGCTGGCACCACGAGGAGGTTGTTCGGCAAGCCAGCTAAGAAGAAAAGCATCAGTAGTACGCCGTTACGCAGTAAGGACGCTTCGCTGCCGCACAACCACCACCGGTCGCACGTGGGCTAATGATATTGCGCTGGTCGTCCTGCCCCTACGCGGTATTGAACCCGCATCGTCAGATTGTAAGACAAGCCCGTTACCTTCAGATTACTGGCCGTCTACGACAGTTGCAACGCAGCTAGGACGTTTATAACAGAACTACAACAAGCGGACGATTGGCTCGGTAGTATGCATATCATAAATAGTTCTCTACATGGGCATCGAGTATTCATAATGATTTTGGGAAAGATGTCAAATGTGATGAAACACAACAATAGCAACGGCCAACAAGGCACCAGGTGTATGCCAACACTGACGCTTCGCTGCCATGTAGTCGCACATGATACAAAGGACTAAGATAATTTTTGGAGGAAAAGGTTAGCGGCGGAATTCTAGGAGCCAAATACAAAAGCACAAGTGATTTCGTAGTTACGGCCGTTCTGCGCATCCATTCAAGAAAATCACATATACAAGTCCTACCGTATCTCCCGCCTACTTGTTACTGTCCCTTCAGTCACCATCGGTCGACCATTATGGCATACACCTGAGCCGAGTTCACTTACTTCTGGTATTAATGGCGTTAGTCTGTCAGTTTAACGCACAGCTAATCGTTGACTGTAGCGTTGTCACTTGTGTGATGCGTTGTATTCCATGCTAGTTATAATACATTTTGCGTACTGCCAGAACTGGTGTTTTCTGCTATTTTGTGCTACAAGCCGAATACTCCGTTCTTCTTCCCCACGTGCCAAGTTATAACAATCACCTTGATCTTTCTCGCGAAATGACGTAGTGCTTGTACACGACACCCGCCGTCCGTTATCTACGGGCAACTAAAGTATCTGACCCACATAATATAGACCGTTCAAGTTGGACGTAAGACTACGTGTGGCATCAACCTGTTTGTTCCCGGATTTTTATGGTGAAACCCATTGCAAAGAGTTTGAAGCTTCAGTTAAGTAGGTCTGCAAAAGAAGAAAGATGCAGGTGTAGTCGAAGTTTATCAAGGCTCGAACAGATAAAGG